TTTACTTAAATTTTAATAAGATTTCAAAAGAAAAGTATTGCTATTTGTATCATAAACATATTCCAAATTTAATTTCTTGCTGATAAGAAGCTTAAGTAACTCAAAACATATCTATTAACCTGATGTAAATTATATTACCAGATTGTCAAAAGATGGCATTCAGTTTATTACTTGATAGTTGGATAATAACAAATGTAGAAAATGAACCAATTTTCTGTCGATTAAGCTAACTTGATAATTAAAAGCAGAAGTGCAAGTGATACTGTAAATAATCGTGCTTAACCGACGTTAAAAAACATGTATTTGTTAAAAACCGAGTACTTTCAAAGCCTTCGTCATCAGGCAAAATCAAACAAAGCTTAAACATAAAACATCTTTACACTTGGGCATTATATTTTCGTTGAGAATTTCACATATATCGCATTTTCATTAGATCGTTTATTGTCTATTCAATATTCCAATGTTGTGCTGTAACTGAATTTAAAAAAGAAATGTTACTTTTAAGTTTAAAGTTTATGTTTGATTTTGCCCTATGACGAAGGCCACCGTCGGAAGCGCTCACAATTTTTAACAAAATACACGTTTTTTTCTTAACCGGTTAAGTGCGATTTCTCTCCCATATGAAACCTTACCGGCGTAAAGTGAATATTGTTTTTTGTTGGATAATGTCAATGTTAGCCAAATTTTTGTAAGTAATTTGATTATAAACATAAGTTTGCTCTAAGATAAATCCACAACAGAAGCTGGACCCTTTAAGAAGTAACAAATTACTTTTTATATTTGAATTTCCTTGATTTAAGAAACGAAAAACTATTGTTATCTTGATGTTTTTATTGCTGTTATGTGTCAAGACTTACATGCATAAATTCTGTATTAACTTTTGAATTTTTCATTCCGAGTGTGGCATTTAGTGATATACCTTCAAAGAAGTATAATTTTATTCCTCTTATGCAAATATAAAAAAAAACTGTTTATACAAAAATATAAATCTCATTTATAATCAATAATAATAATAATTAAATATAAAACTAATTAGATAAAAATTAACATTTTCTTAAGCTAATTAACCTGAAAAAAAATTGTTGTTATATGATCATACAACAAATATTTATACATTTAAAAATAATATGAAATCAAAAATGTTACTTACAAAACATGCTTATTTAGTTGTAGTAGTGGCAATATTTTACAAATAAATAAAATGCTATAAAATATGATCAGACAAAGAATAAATGCAGAATAATGAAATTTTGCAATTATATTATATATATAAAACAGAAGCATGCTGTATGGTGTAGAGCAGTGGTTCTCAATTAGTTTTTCCTGTGTACCACTTCAAGAAAGAGCTCAAACTCGCATACCCTTATAGCAGAAATTCATATTAATCCATACTAATAGAATTACCTTTGAATTTATAATGTCTGTCTGTCACGTTTTCACATCTAAACCACTGAACAGGTTTTAATAAAATTTGGCACAGAGATAGCTTACATGTTGGAGATGGACATGGGCTACATTTTACTGCCAGAAAATATCTTAGGGTGTAACTATGCAGACGCAAATTTAGAGCGAGCGAGAGGTTGCGAGCGATTTAGTTTTCGCAAAGGAAAACCATGCACAAACGAGAAGCAAGAAATAACGCTAGCAAGAGTAAATTTCTGGTTCTAGCACATATCTGACAGGTTTTGATATTTATTGCGTCTCACCTCTTCTGGCCACATATTCTCACTCGCTCGCATCTGCATAGTTGCACCCTTACTCCCACGAGAAAATTTGATATAATGTGGGCAAAACTATGGGTAGACAGCTAGTGATAAGTAGAATAAGTTTTCTTTTTTTTTTTTTTACATTTATTACCTTTAAAATACAATTCTAATAATAATAATGAAAATAACATAAGGTTATTTAATTTTAATGCGAAAAATGTGCACGATTTTCTTTACACAACTTTGTAAAATCTGGTTGTTTTTGGTCAGCTTCAGTCTCAAGTCGTCTTCGAGTCGAAGTTGGTGATGATGTTTAGTTTTCACGTTTGTCATGGCCAAAAATCCACTCTCGCAGAAGTATGTTGTGCAAAATGGTAGTAAATATTTTATTGCCGCTTCGCTGACATGATGATAATGATAATTGTACAATTAACACAATTTGTGTTAATTGTACAATTTTTGTTTCTTGCGTAAGAATTTCATTTAGGTATTGTCACAAATGCATTTTTTTGATGAAATTGAGAATATTTTTAGTTATAAATAAACGAATTTGTGCATTCAACATCATGTTGTAAATTGCTGAATTTTTGATGGTCCACCCATTATTTTTTTGATTGCTTCATCTCATGCATTTAAATTTTAGATTGCGCACTAATTGGGAACCATTGGTGTAGAGGAAAATTCCAGTGGGGAAATGTCCCAGCAATGCAACAGCATGACTGGAGAGGGTCTCCATTTTTTTTTCCTGTCTTTGTGACCTGTATGTCCAATCCAATTTTTTGTTATAATGTTTCTTGAGTTTACATTCTAGCTTGAGAGCCATATTTACGAGTAAAACCCAAGGTTTATGCATGACATAAAATGTTAACTCAAAAAATAATACAACAAAAAAATTGAACTGGATATATAGGTCACAAAGACTGAAGAAAGAAGAGACCCATTGCGCCGTTGATTGCTGAAAACGACATTTCCCCACTGAACTTTTTCCTATATACCATATAGCATAGTCCCATGTTTACACTAGAAATAACCAATCATAATCCAGAGCAATCTCCCCTTACATTGAAAACCTCATTACTGGAATGAACGAGTGTATACAAAATCTACTGTATTTTTGTAGATTATCCAGCATGTCGGTCTATCCACGGAAACCATGAAATCTGATATTTCTATATTGTATAATCCGGCATGCTGGTTTATCCTGGCGAAATTCCGGCATGCCAGTTTAAGTGAGGTTACTCCAGAGAGCGCACAAAACTCTCAGACATCAGTTTTTACTGTAAAATTGCAAAACTCTCAGCATTACATCAAAAATTACAATTATATGTTTAATTTCTGCATTTTATCTTCTTTCTACAATGTAAAATATTCATGGAATGCCAGAAAGTGCTTTTCTGTACTTATTTTATTTTGATCCAAAAATGCAAAAATAAACTTATCAAATTTCAGAAACTTGCTGTAAATTATCTCAACTTAACATATGCTGTGTTTTGTAGCTCTGCTATAGTTTTGTTAGATATGATCAATTTTATTTTTTAGTCGAAGTTTAGCCGGCATGCTGGTCTCCCGATTATATGCGGCATGCTGGTCAGTCAACAAAAATACGGCATGAAACAGAAGTTCATAAGACGAATTTGTATAATCAAATAGTACTGATGTGGGAAAAGATATTGCTCTTGTTTTGCTGCTGAATTCTTTTTACTTTCATAGAATGGTACAGGATTCGATTATTATATCAGAAATACAGCAGAGTGGCAATTATATGAATTAATCAGGGACGGGGTTGCTCAGAAAATCGATTTTTCGGATAACCGATTATGTATGAAAAAATATATTGACCTATTCCATGTTGAAATTCTTTCAAATCCTGGCACGTCCTTAAGTACCCTCTCGTGGTTGTGCCAGTGCTGCCAGCTAAAACACGCACACCAACAAAAATGATATTAGAGTAGCCCAAGACATAATCAAAGATTTCAGCACCACAACACTAGCGGGAATTTAAATTTACCAACTGGAAAGCTTTTGGTTAATTGATGTTTCGGTTGATCGATATTCGGATAATCGATGCTTTATTGTATTTTCAAACATGTAAATCTGACACTACATGCTTTTCACATTAATTTGGAAATTATTTCATTGGAAAACAGATGTTAGACTCCAAAATTTGAGTGCTTCTGGTAAAGTCATAATTTCTTTAAAAAATAAATTTAAACAGAAATCAACAATACAAAGCAAGAACAATTTATTTAAAAGAAGAGCACTTCACCTAATTTCTTAAAGTGTGATTACGAGTTTAGATGTCATCTTAAGTGTAGACGAGACAAAATGCTTTCTTTTAAAATAAACTGTGAGAGTAGAAATCTCAATAGTAGTAGTCGACACATAAACACAAGATACTGAGTGTCCAAAAGTTACTGTAGGGTGAGAAATTTGTAAATGGCATTAAAAGTGATACAGGTTTAATATGTAATGCGGGTGACTACCACGAAGTGGAAACCAAGACGTACGACTTACAGTTTTGCATACGAGACTTGTATGTCCTGCACTTCCACTCTGCAGTAGAGTTTGTTTGTTTATTAAGTTAAGGCAATGCAACACTTGGGTAATCTGCCTAGGGGAATGCCTTCCAGGAGGTCTTTTCAAGGGTAACTGACCCCTATTCAGGCATTACAGACCTGGAGAAAACCACGTGGCCAGCCCGTTCTGGCAAGGCACAAACCCACGACCGAACTCTGTGTTCGGGAAACGGAACCACTTGGCCACTGGTGGGACACTCTGCAGCACAGACCTGAAATTGTATGTTCCATAAGCACACAACTTAGACCTTGTATAAAATGCCGTACGTATAACTTTAATATCATAACAAATTTCTCACTCAACAGTAACTTTTCAGCCACTCCAGATAAACAGAGTTTCGTACATTATAAATTCCTTTCCATTTTCTTCAAAAAGCATTTCATAATATTTGTAAAACGGTACCAACTACTTCAAAAAAAATATATAGTTTGTAAGTAGCATTTTAATTGCGATAATATGGACAAACCAAGTTTCTCTCCTGCAAAACTCATTAAAAACAAAATGCTTTTATTTCTGAAAGAAATGAATTAAGAATAAAAAAAAAAATAAATAAATACTTACTATAATAATTAGCTATATAATTAATTTCTACATTATAAATTTACATGCTTTTATTAAAAAAGTGATTAGCTGTCAAAACAACCTGCAAATGTTACTTCTTCGTCTATACCAATAAAAGGCAAAATCACAAGCAAAGGCATCTTTCGGGAAACCTACCAGAGGCATGCAGTCTTGTCTAGAGGTGGGAGAGCTATTGCTGAGCAGGGTCCCACAGGCTACCATAAGCAGCAATGGCAGTGAACCGGAGGTCTGAGGCAGCCTGAGCAAGACAAAGTGCTACTATTAGCATTCAATGACAGCATCAGTTCTGTATTTTCTTTCTTTTCTTTAAATCAATCATTAATTGTCTGCTTTCAATTAATTAAAATACTTATATTTTATCATACAAAATGCAAAAAAAGTTTAAAAAACTAAGTTCTCATATAAAAATTCAAATGCTAATTAAATCTTAATTGTTTTTCTTTTTTAATTAAAAAAAAGATATTATATAAATATATAATTAATTTTTCAAACTAATCAAACTATGATTAAGAAAATCTTAAAACCATGCCAGCAAAAAATCTAAAAATTAGTATTATTAATTGCAAAAAATTCATTACAAAATTCAAACCATGGCAGCATTCCTTTAGCAAATATCTGCAAAATTTTTATTATATGTATATATATTTTTTTCCTTTTAATTTTGGTTTTTTTTATTAAAAAAATTACATGCTTAAATCATGCTCTAATTTAAGGAAAATACTTACTGTAATTAACCATTTCAAATTCTTCAATTATCAAATATTTTAACATTAAAATTTTATATACTATCAAATAAACTATTAAATTTCTAAATTAAACTAATGCATTATAAAATTAATTTTATAAATTCTGAGAGAAACGGAACAAACAATACACACTAACACCAGAAACCAGCAAATAGTTTGCTGGTTTCTGGTTTAAGGGTGCGACTATGCAGACGCGAATTTAGAGCGAGCGAGAGGTTGCGAGCAATTTAGTTTTCGCAAAGGAAAACCATATACAAACGAGAAGCGAGAAATAACACTGGCGAGAGCAAATTTCTGGTTCTTGCACATATCTGACAGGTTTTGATATTTATCGCTTCTCGCCTCTTCTCACCACATATTCTCGCTCGCTTGGAAAATTCGCTCGCGTCTGCATAGTCGCACCCTAAGTGTATGTTATTTCTATTGAATACTTGTATGCTGAAAACACAAAACACATTAATAAATAATAATATAATAAATAAATAAATAATAATAATAATAAAAAAATCTTAAAATCTTATTTAAAATCTAAATGTTAAACTATAAGAAATTGTTTCATTCATTGTCTTCATTTGTAATAACCCAAAGTGAAGAATGTCTGTTAACCCGATCCTTAAGATTAATGCCGAATGATTGCTGGATTATATCATCAGGTTATATTAATGACTATCTCCGGGACAAATTATTTAACACTTAATTATTAATAGCTGCATTAATATAGCTTGATATGATCCGAAAATTGTTTTACGTTAATCACGACAATGAGGAATGAAACAAAACATTTCGGAATTAAAATAAACTGCGAGGGTCCACGGACCCAATCTGTGGTTTGTGTGAATAAAGCGTTTCGGAAAAAATAAAACAAAATTTGAAATTAACTTGACTTGCTTTATTTACAATCATTTCACCATTTGATTGATTACAGCTAAGATTGGTTTATGAGAACTAAAATATAAAATACCAAAAACAATGTTCAACTGTGTATTTGGAATATACTGTGCTATCGTACTGTAAGTGCATAAAACTTGGCTATTTTATTGCATTATCTTCATTTATCACTGACGTTTGTACTAATAACTAATTGGTGCACTCTGAAGATCAAACACAGGACAACTCACTGCCTGCCACTGCAGACAGTAGTATGTTACAGTACATAATGTACATAAACTTTAAATTGCAATCTCTGAAATTATTAATGATATTATTTTATCTCTTATTTTCCAAATTATCTTTCCATTAATGCCTAAATCATCTTTGTATGACCATTTGCTGCAGAGTTACAAAAGCATTACACTCTACCTGCCAAGTGTACCCACACATAGAAAACAAACTAAAAGTACTATGTATTTTTAAAAAATGTAGTGCTTTAAATTTTAGACACCTAGTAATTGAAGATGTTTGTTTTTAATCAGTGAATTGCTGGAAAGTGAAAGAAAGGTGTGAATTTTAGCATTTAGAAGATAGTTCCAGCTTTAGAATTAACAAATTAAAGACTTATCCCACTTTTCAAAATAGAGAATCTTAAATTAATAGGTGAAAAGAATGCTTTACAAAAGTTGATTTGAATACTAACCAAAGAAGACATAACAAACATCTAAACATTCTTATTCTTTACTTAACAACTGGGTGCATAGGGCCTGTTCAATGCACTATCGAGAAATTTTAACTATAAATATATGTATTTTAAAAAAGATGATGTGTATTAGTTAGCACCTCTTTACTAAATGTCTTAAAGAAAAAGCCGAAGGAAGAGAGGCATATGCAAAGAGATATCAGCGTGTAAGATATTCCTGAATAAAGAGTGATGTTAAAAGATGACCAATGTCTACCTACAAACCCAGTTGTAAAGAATAAGTAAAAAAAGACAGTTTCGGAATAAGTCAATAAACACAAATATTTAAAATGAAATAGTATCCTAAAGTTTCATCGTTAGAATATGTCTAGTTTCATTAATATCATAATTTTTGTGTGTTCATTTGTAATTATATCAAAGATCCAATGAAAATGGAATAACTGTAATTATGTATTTTATACACAGATACAGACAAGCAGAAATATCTATGTATGTCTTCATCAAAACTAAGTACTGTATGTCTTAAAATCTTTTATAGCTTACTAAGAGAGCATTGTTATAATTCTAAACTGGTAGCTGTAATCTTTTCTTTGGACTTTATTGCACCATCACTTTTTTATACAGATTAAAATCTCTCTTAAGAATGAAGCTAAATATTATGTAATAAGAAAATCATGATCATCAGGATGCATATATCTTTAAATTTTACAAAAACAGTTTTATTCTTGACAAACCACATTCAAGTCCATATTTTTCTGTATATGGCTTGAATGAAATGGATATACAGCTTAATGGATTATGAAAGAATAAAATCTCTCTAATTATTCCACCATATATCCCATGCATTTAGAGCAGTTATTGCATGGCATGATTACACAATTGAAATTTAAAATCTGCAATACTTAGCCCACGCCTCTTTCAAAATATCTTTTAAAAACACAGATAGTCCATAGGTATACACACAAAAATATAGTAGCAGCATTTTTTTTTAAGAAATAAAGAAAATATCATTTGAGAAATCAATGGATCTTTTAGGTCAAGTTGCAGTTAACCTGCTGGCTCTTGCCTACAGAATAAAATCGACAATTTTAAATCCAGAAACTTTTTTACAATTTTTAATAAAAAATTGATTGAACAATATCTTGATTAAAGTCTTGCATTAGCTTATTTTATGATTAAACTCAGAATAAATACAGCAAAGGCAGCAAAGAATTGTTCAACCCCAACATCAAATTGAATGGTCTGTTTGTAAAAATAGATGCAAAATAGCCATAAAACCAGAAATCCCTTTGTATATTAAAGAACTATAAAATATTTTAAGTTTATGAAATGAGTAATCACATATAAAAATATTACTTTTCAATAAATTAAGATAATAAGTTATATTATAAACTTATGGCATTCCATTTACTCTCTCTCTCTCCATTCTCACATTATTTATTATAAGGCATGTAAGTCCTCTGTTAAACCTAACCCACAATCATACAGCAGAGTGTTAAACTGTTCAAACACCCAATTATTATAAAAGAATAGACGTATAAATGCGGTAAAGCTACGGAGTATGTCCATTTAAATATCTATCTAGGGACAAAGATCTTTCCAGCATTGCATGAGTGTATATATGTGGTGCATGCTTGTTTGGGTGCTAAAATAGCCAGAGAATAAATTTAAGATAATTTAGCATAACATATAAATTACAAAAAAGTGAACTTTTTGATGGTATTCTCTGTAATTAAATAATGACCAACTTCAGAAACAATATGAGACAGATGAGCATGGCATTATGGATGGCACATTAAAATGGTAATACAAAGAATGCTAAGGCCTCTTGTATGCATCTATCCAGTTTGTCAACATCATATGGCAATGCTGGATACACATCACATACTGATGCTTTTAGGTAACACCACAGGAAAAAAAAATCCAGTTTTGGGTTAAGTCTGGAGAATGTAATAGCCACAAAACAAGGCCATTTTATCCTATCCACAGTTGCCAAATTGCTGGATACTGATGAACACAAATGGTACCTTCAGCACAATGGTACTGCAGGTACCATTGTACTGGTACCTGCCATAGTTGCACCAATGGCAAGTCATCAAGCTATCCATCCACTATCAAGGTCAGGATGTTCAGATATCAGTCATTATTTGGACTGTCGTCAACAGATATAAGACTAAATATAAGACTAAGAAGTAGCTTACCCAAAATTCCATACAGAATGTTTATGGTAAAATGCACTTAGTGTCACATATGTCTCATGCATGGTGGAGCAATCTCTCTGTCTAGTGATGCACAATATAATGGTTACACACTCTTTATGATATGTTAATGCCACCATTGCCGCCCTCATTAGAAGAGCTTTCTTACTATCATCTTCACAAGCACTGGTGAATATTGAATTAGACATTAGTTTGGCAGTACGCACTGCTGGTTTTTCGCATGATAAATTTACACGTGCTCAATATAGTAAAAAAAAAAATACTGTAATCGCTATTTCCAAGCACTGTGCTATGCAACAAGAGAGAGAAATTTCCAACAACATTATCTGAATTTGCAACTGATGATAAAGTGACTTAACAAAATTCAGTGAAAAATATCTAGAACAAACGTAGATTCCAATTGATTCCAGAAAGAGTTATACACAATACAAATACACACATAAGATAATTATTATCAGTTCACTGAATGAGAGATAAATATAAAAAACCAGATTAAATAACGAAACATACTGTGATAGATGAATTTTACAGAATAAGAAAATATTTTTAAATCTAAAACTAATTGATTTAACTGAAAAAAATAATAGTTAAGAAACTCAGTTTGATGGTATTAAACTACTAAAAAGAACACACTTAATAAAGTACTTAAACATTTTTGACATTAGTAAACCATTCAAATATTTTTGTATATGTTAAAAACATTTAAGTAGTTTATTAAATGTAATTTCTCTTAGTTAAAAAACAGTTTGTTGGTGTTAAGTTCCTGATTGTTTTTATACAGGTGTACGTCAATATTTTGTATAAAATTCAATAGAATTAAGAGAGTTACAACATGTTGATTTTCAAAGATGGAACAAAAAAGCAAATTTATAAAATAAGTACTCATTTGTGATGAAGCTAAACAGAAGAACAAAATAAACGTTTTACGTAAATAATACATAATACGTTTATAATAAAATTTTTAATATCAAATACAACAGAATCCACTTATTGTAATCATGGATTTTGTTATTAGTCATTTATTACTATTGAACTAATATTTTATCACAACTACTGGTTCTTTGGTTGGTGTTGACTTTCATCCACATCAAGTTCTTCCCAGTAACTTAGGATGTCATGATGCATTGGTGTGAGATGTTTGCTGATCCAAGCAGCCTTTTGCAGTTGACATTTTGATTTCATCAATGTTGAGTTGTTACAAGTACTGCCCCAGCTTTTTAGGAACAGTACCCAGTGTGCCAATGACTACTAGAACCACTACTACTGGTTTGTACTATAGTTATTGTATTTCAATCTTGAAATCTTTATAGTTTGCAATTGTTTCCAGTTCTTTTTCTTTGACCCTGTCGTCACCAGCTAATGATCCATACCTTCTTTTCTACAATGGTTAAATCTGGCATGTTGTGTGCAAGTATTTTATCTATTCAAATTTGAAAGTTTCACAGGATTTTGACTTGCTCATTTTCAGTTACATTTTTGACTTGTTTCAACCAGTTCTTAGCAGTGGACAAATTGTTATTTTTGCAGAGATTTATTTTGGCACAGTGGATCATTTTGGCAACTGTGTTGTGCAGTTGTTTGTAATCAACCTGTGAGAACTTTTACACTAATTGATTATACAATCTGGTTTCATTCATTTCTTTGCACAATCTTAGTTTTGCATCAGCCTATGATTTTTCAATTCTGGCTGCTTCTATTACATTCATTCTGAGTGTCTGATCTTAGGTGGCTAGGATTAGACCCTCAGCTTCTTTTGTTTAGTGTTCCAGATGTCAACCATTACCAAGTTTCAGTGACATCTTTGATCTCCAAAAATTGGTAACATACTCAGCTGGTTAGAGTGCCATGGTGGGAGTTACAGGTCGTGGGCACTGAAATCATCCCCACTCAGTGAAGTGAATAACCAGTATGGTTACATCTAAATTAGTTCTAAAAGCAAAAATCGGAGAGAGGTCTGAATAGCATAACTGGCAATGCATCTGCACAACAAGCAGGAATCCTGCTTTGGGCTGATTCTTTTCTTCCAAAACCTTATAATTAATATTTTAATAATTAATTTAGAACTATTAAATTTATCAAAAGATGGCATCTAATGCCTCCCTCTGAAGAAAATTACTTGATGTTTAATTAGTAATTAGTAGCATTAATAAAGCCTAACATAATCCAGCAAAAAAACTTGCACCTTCATAAATCCAGCAACAAATTTTTAAAATGTTCTTAATTTTTATTAAATTTGTTGCTGGATTTATAGAGGTGTAACTATCAAGTTCAGGATGTTCAGATATCAGTCATTATTTGGACTGTCGTCAACAGATATAAGACTAAATATAAGACTAAGAAGTAGCTTACCCAAAATTCCNATGTAGGCCCCTTAAAGAGATGAAAAAATTAGCCCTATTAAAGAAATTTTTGCAGAAAAGAGTACAGATGATGTGAAGTTGCTTTATATATATATATAGCAATTATATATAAGCCAAAATATGTATATATGTTAGGTAAAGGTTTCTATACAGTACAACATATCTGAACCAATTTAGCATAAATATTCTTCGACATCTTAGATAAAATACTATTGTGTCCCCACCAGGGACGTAGCATAGATGTCAGCCGCCCGAAGCGGAGGAAAATTTCACCGCCCCCTTATTTAGGTATCTCAATTTAAAAGACTAAAATTCAATTTCATCATAAGTAATGAAAAATTCCATGCTCATTTCAATCGGTTCGAATCGTAGGTGCGACAAAAATATGTAAAAATTTGAACCATTTCATTTCAAGATGATATTATTTATTGCAAAATTTTGCCACCCCCACTACACTATACCACTGGTCCCCACCCTCAACCACCCCTCAAAGGTCCAAGCAACATCAGGCACATGAAGCTATTTACATATACAGTAAGACCCCACTTAACACATTCAATATAATGCAGTCTGCTTGAAGCCTTAAAAAAAGCTCAAAATTTACACCAATTTAAATTATCGCGACATTTCACTGATTTGTATACAATACAATTATTTGCAAACACAAACCAATAAGCAAAAAGGTGGCAAAAAGGTGTACTTTCTTTAAATCTATGTTTATTTGGTGCAATTTTGGAAAAAATATATCATCATGGATGCCATAGGAAATTTCGACTTTGCTTGGCAAGAATTAACTGATAAATGGACGAGCAAAGTGTGGATAAAGTTATGGTTGAACGTATCCAAGAATTCTCAACGAGAAGAGCCTATCACTGCACTGTTAGTTTGACCAAACTCAACCTAATTGATATAGCAGGACTAGGAGATATAGATGAGCAGGATATTAAGAAGTTATAGCAGGTTTCTGATGAGAGCCTTACCAACGACCTTCAAGAACTGGCAGAACATGGAATTTGTGTGAAACTGGAAAATAGAGATTCTGAAAACGAAGAACCCCAAAAATTTCTCTATAGATTTCCTTAGTAAAAGTTTGGTAAGATAACCGAAAATTGTAGCGAATGATCCAGATTTTGAAAGGAGTGCAAACGAAAAACGAGGCATTTTGGATGCAATCTTCTGCTACCGATAGTTGCTTAAGGATAGAAAAATGTGACAAATGAAACTTCACGACTTTATTTCAAAAGAACAAGAATTTCAGAAAAGTCAGGACATTCGTCACAAAAAATGAACTTTACATTTCTGTGTGCATATGTTTATGTGTTATTTAACATATATTATTATACAAATTAATATAAAAATAACTTAAAATTAAACTAAAATTTGTTATTTTTGGTTGCGTGTTCCCCTATCCCTATTTACTCTATGTTAAAATGACCTCATTTATAGCCGTTTCGCTTAGCGCTTTGTTGTCTAGGAATTCATCCCCCACATTAACAGGGTCTTACTGTAAAAGTCAATATATTATTTTTATGACAACTGGATTGAAAAATCAGAAATACTTTAAAAATTTATATCAAACTTTCTTATAGAAAGTTTGTTTTTATAAAAGACTATTTTAAGATTAAGAAAAATTATACCATATGTATTTGATTATAAGCCAACCCCAGAAATTGAAAACAAAAAATGAAAATTTATTAACGAAGCATAAAGAATAAATTTAATTACACCATTTAATTGTTCAGTTGCTTTAATTAGATGACTCAGATTCATCTAAAGCCAGCAACTGAATCTTTCTTGATTCTTTGTCACCGTCTTCGTACAGAGCATCTTCAGTGCCGTCAAGCGCATTCAAGATCTAACACCTTTTAAATGCATCAGGTGCGACTTCTCTAGAAATACTCTTCCACACACTAATCCAAAATTTGCAGAAAATTAGCTGTGGTGGCTTCTGGCGATAATTTCCAAACTTTTGACTACGTCGTTAAAGGCTGTCACCAACTTTACCGACCATAATAATGGTACCGATTCTACGCCGAGGGACATTTTTTGAACCACAAAAAGTATGATGTTTGGGTTACAATTGGGTAAATATATGATATAAAATTGAAATAAATTAGTCACAACATTAAAAAATTATTACTTCGATGGAAAGTTANGCAACTGAATCTTTCTTGATTCTTTGTCACCGTCTTCGTACAGAGCATCTTCAGTGCCGTCAAGCGCATTCAAGATCTAACACCTTTTAAATGCATCAGGTGCGACTTCTCTAGAAATACTCTTCCACACATGAATCCAAAATTTGCAGAAAATTAGCTGTGGTGGCTTCTGGCGATAATTTCCAAACTTTTGACTACGTCGTTAAAGGCTGTCGCCAACTTTACCGACTGTAATAATGGTACCGATTCTATGCCGAGGGACATTTTTTGAACCACAAAAAGTATGATGTTTGGGTTACAATTGGGTAAATATATGATATAAAATTGAAATAAATTAGTCACAACATTAAAAAATTATTACTTCGATGGAAAGTTAAGTTAAAAAATTGTGTGTGGTCATTTTTTTTTATTAAACAGAAAATAAACAAGAATTAAACATTAAAAAAATATACTTTTTGCATTATTTTTTAAAATTTATTATTATTATTATTATTATTAAATTTTATTTTAAGATAAACAATAACAATATAATTCAGAATATTAACTACTCACAAAAACTAATTTAAAGAAAAATACCTATAATCTTTAATGTTCAATGATAAATATTTTTAGGATTATAGTTTAAAGAGAAACCTTTCAGAATTTCATTTTCAATTAAAAAAGAAAAAACAGAAAATCTACTTTATAAAATATTTTCAGTTTAATTAAATTGGCTTTAAAATAAATTAAGAAACAACATAAAAATATCCGAATTCTCGGTATACGTCTCCTTGCACTCGATGACATTCTGATAAGGAGAATTTATTTTTAAAATGGAGTTTAAAATTGCAATTATTTCCTCAGGAGTCATTATTTAAATATTGAAAAATGTTGTTGTTCGACTTTTAGTTTTTATAAAAAGACTAATTTTAAAACAAAAAAAAAAAAAATTCGATAGGTCATTTAACAAAAAACACGAGAAATTTTCCGTAAAAGACGGCAATAAAATTTTGGATATCTCCCAGGCTATAAACAGTCAGGCAGTGTTATATCAATGCATACCGGATCGCAAAACCTGTAAAAATATTTAATGTAGGCGTTGGCATTCTCTCAAATACGTTCCACCTTCATCAATTATGTACGATAAAAGAACAATTTTTCTAAAAAAAAATTCAAATAAGTTATCCAGACATCTATACACATTTATACTAAATAAATAAGTTGCTTAAAATCTATTATATAAAATTTTGTAAACAATTTTTTTTTTTAATTTAAAATGTTTTAATTTTTGTTCTATAAAGAATGAATGCCAATGCTTACAGCGACAATAAGTAAAATAACTCTTTAAATAAATATATTGAGCAAACGGAGGGGGAAAATGGAGCACTTGCCCTGGGATCAAGTGA